TTTTAAATCGTTACTAAAAGTAAGACGCACTTTTAATTAGAAATCTCGCTAAGCTTCTAGGAATTTTCCCTAGACTCACAAAGTTGACCTCTATTTGACCTTTAGATGTGACATTGATCTTAGATTTTTGTACATGTCCGTACAAAAAAACTTACATTCGCTCGATTTCGATATCAAGAAGGAACTATGCATTTGAAAAACCAAAGTTTACCTTGAAATATCCTTGAAGGACACCTTGTACAAAGTTAGTAAAGAGATGAAGTTGACCTTTTCACAGAAATACTTTACCTGTATAAATACAGAGCCATTCCGTTCCTATTTATCATTCCTTCTATAGAGAACATTTCTTGTAAAAAAAGGTTCTATGGAAGTCAGCAGATGAAGCAACACCTTTTGTATTCATAATGGAGGAAACTGTGTCGTATTCGATAGGAAATAAACAGAATTTTTAGTCTCATTTAACAACAATTTCAATGGTTATCTTGGATTCAACCTTGAACCCCAGCTTTAAAGTTATTTCAAGGTCAGCTTCAAGTGGAAACCCCCCTGTTTTTAGCAGCGATGGAAAGTTTTACGTTCTAATACGTTCTCCCGTACCACTATGACCTTGAAAGTGAGGCTCAAGTTCAGATCCAAAGTCAATACTGTGAATCGTTACTAAAGGTATGGCGTATTTTTAATTAGAAATCCCGATAAACTTCTAGGAATTTCCCCTAGGCTCACAAAGTTCACCTGCATTTGACCTTTAGATGTGACCTTGATCTTAGATTTTTGTACATTTTCGGGCAAAAATCTTACATGCTCTCCATTTCGACGTCAAGAAGGAACCATGCATTTGAAAAACCAAAGTTTACCTTGAAATAACCTTGAAGGACATCTTGTATAATGTTAGGAAAGAGCTGACGTTGACCTGTTCACAGAAATACTTTACCTGTATAAATACAGAGCCGTTCCGTTCCTATTTGTTATTCCTGCGAGATATATAGAACATTTCTTGCAAGAGTTCAGCGAATAATCGATCGAACATTCACACTATGTTGAGAAAAAGGTTCTATGGAAGTCAGCAGATGAAGCAACACCTTTTGTATTCATAATGGAGGAAATTGTGTCGTATTCGATAGGAAACAAGCAGACTTTTTAGCGTCAACGCCTTGCCGTCGCGGCCACGTGTCATAAAGCCTTGTAGTAGGGTAATATGGAAGCAAACAATATTCTGTAGTCTCATTTAACAACAATTTCAATGGCTATCTCGGAATCAACCTTGAACCCCAGCTTCAAAGTTATTTCAAGGTCAGCTTCAAGTGGAAACCCCCCTTTTTTACAGCAGCGATGGAAGGTTTCACGTTCTGATACGTTCTTCCGTGCTACTATGACATCGAATTTGAAGCTCAAGATCAGATCCATAGTCAATATTGTAAAGGGTTACTAACGGTATGAAATATATTTAATTAGAAATCCCGATAAACTTCTAGGAATTTCCCCTAGACTCACAAAGTACACCTGCATTTGACCTTTAGATGTGATCTTGATCTAGGATTTTTGTACACGTTCGGACAAAAATCTTACATGCTCTCGATTTCGACGTCAAGAAGGAACCATGCATTTGAAAAACCAAAGTTTACCTTGAAATAACCTTGAAGGACACCTTGTATAATGTTAATAAAGAGCTGACGTTGACCTGTTCACAGAAATACTTTACCTGTATAAATACAGAGATGTTCCGTTCCTATTTGTTATTCCTGCGAGATTTAGCTAAATATAGAGAACATTTCTTGCAAGAGTTCAGCGAATAATCGATCGAACATTCACACTATGTTGAGAAAAAGGTTCTATGAAAGTCAACAGATGAAGCAACACCTTTTGTATTCATAATGGAGGAAATTGTGTCGTATTCTATAGGAAATAAGCAGAATTTTTAGCGTCAACGCCTTGCCGTCGCGGCCACGTGTCATAAAGCCTTGTAGTAGGGTAAGGGAAGCAAGCAATATTCTGTAGTCTCATTTAACAACAATTTCAATGGTTATCTTGGCTTCAACCTTGAACCCCAGCTTTAAAGTTATTTCAAGGTCAGCTTCAAGTGGAAACCCCCTTTTTTACAGCAGCGATGGAAGGTTTCACATTCTGATACGTACTCCCGTACTACTATGACCTCGAATTTGAAGCTCAAGGTCAGATCCAGAGTCAATATTGTAAAGGGTTACTAACGGTATGAAATAGTTTTAATTAGAAATCCCAATAAACTTCTAGGAATTTCCCCTAGACTCATAAAGTTCACCTGCATTTGACCTTTAGATGTGACCTTGATCTTAGATTTTTGTACATGTTCGGACAAAAATCTTACATGCTCTCGATTTCGACGTCAAGAAGGAACCATGCATTTGAAAAACCACAGCTTACCTTGAAATAACCTTGAAGGACACCTTATATAATGTTAGTGAAGAGCTAGCGACCTGTACACAGAAATACTTTACCTGTATAAATACACAATGTTCCTAATTGTTATTCCTGCGAGATAAGCTAAATATAGAGAACATTTCTTGCAAGAGTTCAGCGAATAATCGATCGAACATTCACACTATGTTGAGAAAAAGGTTCTATGAAAGTCAGCAGATGAAGCAACACCTTTTGTATTCATAATGGGGGAAACTGGGTCGTATTCGGTAGGAAATAAGCAAAATTTATAACGGCAACGCCTTGCCGTCGCGACCGTGTGACATAAAACCGCTGCGCGTTTATTGTACTTGGCATTGTTTGATTCGTGCGGCTTCCCCGCAATGGAAGAGGCCGTGTTGGATGTAAGCGCCTGAGGATAATTAAGAAAAGAGATAGCACCCCATCGGGGATTAATGGAGGTGACAGGAACGGCAATTTGTCACAATGGTTATAAGGTTCCTAAAGTCAAGCGGAATCGCACAGCAACCCTCTGTTGCATGACTCAGTGGACTACACAGTGGAGCAAGTCCGTAAACATTCAAGGCCACGGCTCGCACTGTAATCAAAAGTTATCGTGAATCTTTAGTAAACTCAAAATTACACTCTAACAAAACCGAATCAAAAAAAAAATTGTTTAGTTCACCTCAAAATGAATCCGTGTACCAAGTCAAAAAGCCTAGGTGTTTCCTCTTAAACTAAGCATATCTGTTTTTCTTTGTCCTTCTCCTTTTTTCTTCTTTTTCCGTTTCTCTTTTTCCTTGACTTTGTCTGGTTTCTGGGCAACCAGGACTGACAGATTCGACTAACGTACATCAGACAGTGACTAATGGGCAAAGGTCCTACGGAGCGCCCAGACAAATAAATGACGAATAGAGAGGTTCTTAAAGCATATGTCACGCTGCCATTTTAATTTGATGTGAAATGTCGGTGTGAATGTGTGGGTTAGGTTCGGTTTTTTGTGATTCACTGGTCTATTGTGACTCACATCTGTTCAAATTTAATAATAATAATAACCGTCCTCCCAGACAAGCGAAAAAATATACGATTTGTGTAAGAAGCGCCTAGAATTCCCATATCAATTCAGGATGTTCCTTATAAATTAGTTACAAATATATATTTTTTTCACTCGAATTGGAGATCAAAACCTACAATCCGGGTCAACAGTGACGAGTTAGAAAGCGTTTTAGTGAAACTGGATCAATTGGCCAATCGGACAGGACCTTTCAAACCCTTCCGAATTGTCGCTCAAATATGATATAATGACTAGATTGATATGACACCAATTACAGAGCACTTTTATAGAAAAGTATATTAGTTACCTGAGAGAGATAATTTTAGAAAAAAGGATATCTTTTTAACCCTAGGTTAGTCGCGTCTCTTATCCGCACATTATTAGTCGCGTGGGTGACAAGTGTCAACCATCCTAAAAAACAACCTATACAAGATTTTTCCAAAAATATTTATTAAATAAGAAACAACATATTCTCTATAAGCCTTGACATAAAATGTAGGTTGATTTTAACAACAAAATATATTTAAAACATAAGATAACTGTGAATTACTACTTCAGTCGTTGTTTTCATAACATCGCACACAAATTTCTTTTAGGTGGTCATTGCAAGCAAAATTTTGACACTGCGCGCAAAGTTTTCTAGTTGTTTTATCTCGTGCTCTTCCGCAGTAGTAACAGCGCCCTCTTGCTCCTCTTCGATCTCTTTGTTCAACTACAGAAGTTGAGGGTTCCAAACCCAGCAATACCATTGACCTGCGGCGAAGTTCCCGTGGAATTTGTGAAATGTAAGCTCTTCGTTTTATTTGTGGTGTCAACATATCCCATGCTAACTTTGCAAGAATTCAGTTCGGCATAATTTTCCCTCGATTTGTTTGTTGAGCTTATAAATTATCATAGCATTTACAGCGGAAACATTTAATAAATGTTAAAATACAACCATAGGCCAACGTCTCGTATTTCTTGCTACATTATTTTTTTGGCATATTTGGTCTACTAAATCTACTCCAATCTTGGTACTGTTGTAAAATGTTATAATATCCGGCTTTTGATATTCTCCTGTGTCTTCACTGATTGCACTATCGTGATGCATGGTAGAAACTGCTAGAATTGCTTTATTCTTTTGTGGACAGTAAGAAACAATTGTACAGTTTTCCTGGAATCCAAAAATTGAAGTAAATTTACCCCGGTCTTTTTGGGGAAGAAACTCCTTAGGAATTTCTCTTTTATTTTTTTCTGAGAGTACCTACGTATGTTAATTTCTTTTCAGTCAGCAGTTCATTGACTAATGGAATACTAGTGAACCAGTTATCTCCTGTGATGTTTCTATTTGTACCCTGAACTGGTTCCACCATCCTCATCACAATATCTTTGGCATTGTTACTTTGCTGATATGGACCTGGGGGTTGCAATCCAACATACGTTTCCAGTTTCATAGTATAAGCTGTTTTAGCATCAACCAAAGCAAATGTTTTAATGTCATATTTACCTGGCTTATTGGGGATGTACTGGCGGAAAGCTGCACGACCTCTAAACGCAAGCAATTGCTCGACTATAGTTAGATATTACTCGGTGAGAAATATTTCTCAAAATTATTGGTGAACAGTTCAACCACTTCCCTAATTGCTGCCATTTTATCAAGTTCTTTACGCATGTTACGGTCATTGATGTTGTCAAATCTCAAACATCTCAAAAAGAAACGGAACCTTTTTTCACTCATAGTAAGATAACATGATTCAATGCCATTTCCTTTGGAGTTATCCCATAGTAAATGAATATTTTTACGAGAACATCTCATGGTGCCTATAAGGAACAACAATCCAATAAATGCCCTTATTTCTATCTCATCAGTACTCCTTGCATCTCTGTCCCTTGTAAATTCTTGACGTGTTTTCTCTATATAAATATTAGTGCACGCTGTAATTGTTTTGAGAATATTGTCGTCTAAAAAGAGTTCTAAAGCTGCTACTTCTGTTTTCACTTCTCGTGCTTTACCTTTGGGTCCTGGTAAATGAATAATAATGTTATGGGACCTTGTTTTCACATTTCTTGGAGGATTCGCTTTTCTCCATTTCGTTATTTTGTCCTTCCCAATGTAGAAACTAGAAGAACCTAAAGGCACGTCTTCGTCACTTTCAACTTCTTCACTTTCCGCAACCTCTTGTTCCGATTCTGTATTATGCTCACTCTCTGTCAGTATATTTTCTTCCTCTTTGTCACTTTCATCTTCATCCTTAGAGCTTTCACTCAGATCACTTTCATCACTTAGTTCATGGTACCACTTCAGCCATACATTGGGATCATTACTGGTCTCTACTTTTCTTTTTTTCTGTTCAGACATGGCCTTGCTACTACTTCCAAATACCTAAAGCAAAAATACCTTAGCATAGGGAGAAAAAGTATTAAAAATTGAATTACCTTTGCCACAGTACAACAACACCTTAATAATAATTTAACAACGTAGAAGGTCGCGCGGGGGACACTTGTCAACCACTCAGCTTTGGTCAGCAATATCTCCACTAAACACGCACAAGCCGTACTAAATATTTGACGGCACAGACATCTATCATAACATGAAAGATACTCGGAGCGATGTTGCCAAGTGAGCTGAAATATTTAAATAGTGGCATATTAAATGAAAGTGGGTGACGATTGTCACCCGCGCGACTGACCTAGGGTTAAAGGTGCATAAACGTGTCGATTGTCAATTAAATTACCGTCTAATGTAATTCGTTGATCTATGAACTACTGTTTGGCACACAGATCCTCTATGCATGCGTGAAATTTATGCAAAATCATATTTTCATAAAAGTATCTCAGTATGCATATACATATGTACGTTACTTGGGGAACAGGAATAGCATCGGAAAATCTTAATCATATTTGAAATCAGAACTGCCTTGCGCGTCCAGTCACGGGACCGCCCAGTGCTACATCCTCGAATTATTCAAGGAAAACTCGTGAGGCTGAAATCGCTGAAAGGCAGCAAAATAAACGTTAGATTGGTTTCGGCTCTTTTAATTTTAATTTAAAAAACAAGTGTTATACGGTTCAACTACTATGTGATAAAGATAAAATGACAAACATTTGTGGGTTAACACATATCACTCGTGCTTACTGTTATTAGCTTGGCAGCACTACGCACGTATCAACTACCAAGCGTATAGAAAAACGAATATTAGAGATGGAGCTAATCGGTAAAGCACGGTATTCTCACCGAAACTTGGTCTCTTAATTTGTTACAAGCATAAAAGCCAGTGGTTGTTGTATGTAGATCAAGTTTAAATAACATTTCGCTTCTGGGTGGGTGTTTAGCTTTAAGCCTTTTTTTATTATACAACAGGGTCCAGCCATCTAGCGGATGCGTTATTATTGGCTGCCATTTCGATAGCTGTTATCTGTATATTTAATGTTATCGCTCACCTGTAGATGGCGACACACGCATCACCTTATGTTAACCGAAGTTATAGATGGCGCTGAATTACTACATAATATAATGCAGTCGATTTTTAAAACCACGAAGCACGGCCCCAAGCAAACTTTGTCTGCTATCTTTCCCAATCATTAAACTTGTCCTCAGAGGATACAGTATTATCAAATTGTGACATCATTGGCTTATATTATATGGTCATTCAAGAAATCAAGACAAAACTAAACAGGGAATCGGAATACCCAAGTCTCTGAAGCAGATAAAGAACTGGAGCCCCATCAGTGGGTGGAGGGAAATACTTGGCAACTTGTTTAGAAAATTTCGTTACAAAGATAGTAACATATACTAAGTGACATATAAATCCGAACACCCAGTTTAAATGGTTTTATTTTAATAAAATTTTGTATAAGTACTTAATGAAGCATAATAAGTAAATGATAAAAATTTCAAAATGATTGCTCTGCTTTAGAGCCCTTTGACCTTTAATAATGTGTGGATGCACCTTGATGTGCTACGCATTCTCCAACGCGCCTAGGCATGCTTCCAGGCAACCACCAACTCCTCTCGAAGTGCTTCTAGAGTCTGAGGAGGACGTTGCAAATTGAGCAATCTCCTACCCATCATATCCCACACGTGCTCAATCGGGGATAAGTCGGGAGATCTTGGTGGCCATGGTAACAATGTGACATCATTATGTTGAAAGAAGTCTATTGTGACTCTTGCAACATGTGGTCGGGCGTAATCTTGTTGGAAAGTTGGATCTGCCAGGGTGTCAAGATACGGTAAAAGATGGGGTTCTAGAACTTCGTGGATATAACGCTGCGCGTTCATGTTACCTCTGATGAAGATTAAAGATGACCTGGAACCATAAGCTATAGCACCCCAAACCATAACTCCAACAGTGTGATGAACATGTCTTTCAACAAAAAACTGTGGATTCCTCCTTTCACCACGTCGCCTTCTAACCCTGGCACGACCATCGTGCATGCCTAAACAAAATCGAGACTCGTCACTAAAGACAATACTGTTCCATTCCTGATCCCAGAGTGACCGTTGTCTGCACCACTCAAGGCGATTACGTCGGTGTTCTCGAGTTAAAGGGAGGACCCAGAGTGGCCGGTATGAAAACAAGCCAAAACTTCTCATTCGTCGGTAAACACTTCGCATGCCAATAGGTCTTCCGTGTTCTGCAAACGGTCTGTTGTTCTACGGCGGCGTCCAGTGCCCCTTGCTCTTTGTGTACCGCCTTCTCGAAGCCATGCCTGACAACACCTAACCACAGTGTCTACACTTCTTTGCACTCTAACTGCAATTGCCCGAAAAGAAAGTTCAGCTTCCCGAAGTCCCACTATACGGCCCCTATCAAACTCACTAAGTTGACGAAATCGTACAGGTCTCCGTACTCTAGGCATCGTAACCGATAGTAAAGGATGTTAAGAACCAAAATCCGCCAACGTTGATTCTTTACTGCGACTGAAATATTCATTTTTAGAGCGTTAGTGAATTAAAAAAAAGGAGTATAAAAACCGGAATGTCCAACTGATAAGGCTGAACATTTTTTCACTTGTTATTTACAGTAAGATAAACACATTCACCAACTTTTATTAAAATAAAACCATTTAAACTGGGTGTTCGGATTTATATGTCACTTAGTATATTTCACATGTGATAGTCATAGTTTGAGCAGCCGTATCAGCTGAAGATTTGATTGGATCTTACTTTTTTTAGACCGATCGCGGTCAAGCTGTGACTGTTAATTCAGAAAGTTGTGTTTGAATTCTGGTAGAGCTTATGGCCCCAGAGCTGTGATCCCTGAAAAACTGTTAACTAAGAAGGGTGACATTGAGTGGCCACCACGAGGCCCTGATTTATCCCTTCTCGATTTCTGTTTATGAGCGAAAGAGCTGAGTGTTTATTCTTAATCCAAAAACCCTCCACGAATCTGAGCGAAACATTGTAAAAAATGGTGGCAGTTCCAATAGCAATTTGGAGGCGAGTGTTAGGCAGTTTGAGGTTTCGCTTGGAACAGTGTTCGCGGTGATATGGAGGATACCTTAATGATGTAGTTTCCAAAAAATGAATGAGTAATTTCAATTTATATTACAAAACTAAGTATAATATTTCAGATACAAAACCGCTTGTGTTTACAGCGTACTCAAAACTTAATTATTATGGCACATCCTGTATAAACTAAATAAACGCAAATGTGGGAAATTCGGTACAAATTCTTCTCATATTTCAGTCCACTGACCATATTGCATGTTTGTTCGTCTGTGTAAAAAGCCTTATATAGTTAAAAAGTTGTACGGGCCTCTAATTAAAAACATCGATATTACCTTCCCTCTCAATCAATACTTCTCCAACCTCGTAACAATAATTGGCTATTACGGAGCAATACATAATGAGCAAGGGAAATGAAAAGGCCGAGAGTTTTTGGCTTCTATTTCGCTTTCAAGGGATTCGGCGTTGCTATGGCGATCCCTCCGGGATAAGAATTCAAATCAGAACAGTGGTTCACTTCATTGAGGATTCAGCACGGTGCAGTTTCCTTAAAAATAATTTAAAACGCCTTTCGTCGAATCCAACATCAGAAACTCCCGTCAGTTAGTTTGGTTCTTTGCCCATGTACATATGAGGCTTTTCCTATCCTGAGAGTGTTGTTTGCATCTAGAACTGTCAGATACGACCGCCCCTTTGTTCCCAGAATGTCTGGAAAATAGCACACGGTGGCCAATATATAAGTGACTGATCTAAATTGCTACACGATCCCACAACGCGTCCGTATTGTTAAAACTTTATACTTAAATAATGAGTCGATCGTTGCAACGATTCGGAAGCTACGACAAGATTTCGTATTTCGTATTTTATTTAATTTCACAGATATTCAAGATACAAACCAGTTACATATCGGCCACCATGTATGATAATAGTAATAATAATAACAAAGGGATAATAGACACTAAGAAACTGCATAACAAATGATAAGAAGATACGTTTTTCAAATATTTCTACTCTAAAAAAGAAGGTCCCCTTCATGCGGCAATAATTCAAGCTGATAAAAACTATACACCACTCATGCAAACATAACCTACACTGTAACGGAAAATCAAGAAGACGTGAGACAACGATGGTCCAGTAAGGCGTTTCATGGCAGACGTGTGAATATAGTACGAGATGAAAGCATAAACATAACAGCAACATAGACAGACGGGTTTGCGATTGCTACATAGGACCAAGTCGTAAGCACACGGAACTACAAGAAGTACATCCTGACACAGCCACACTTGAAACCGATAAATACCGGAAACGTAACATGCTTTTAGAGAGCGTAGACCACATCACATCTTGCTGCAGACTGCCGCGGAATACACAGTGAGACATAACAATGTTGGAAAATTAATACACAAGGCACTCTCGAACAGACATGGGCTGACATCATGTAAAGCCCGGAGAATAGATACACACCAGATACTGTAATGGAAAACGCAACACACAAAGTATACAACCCTATCCTCACTCAGTTGGCAAAATAAAGCATCAAAAGGCTACGGAAATAAAATAAAGTGTAAATAATGCCGATGATAATATCAGTGACAGGTAGCACACCACAATCATGTATAAATAATCTAGAACTACGCGGACTGAATTTGCAGATATATCCTCAAAAACAGAAAGCAGTTATACCCAGTACCACTACCATAGAATTAGTTATTTGAACTTGGTTTGACCCGTTCATGCATTATATTTATCAGACTAAAGTCTGTGCAAGACATCTGATAAAAGATAATAATAATAATAATGATAATAGTAACAATAATAATTTATTTTCCTAGAGCAAAGTTTAAATAATAATCGTCAACTATATACAGGTATATAACAAGGTGTTAATCGGAACAAGATAATGAACAACATCTGCACACAGACATCATTACACAAACGTTTATGTATACTAAGTGACATATAAATCCGAACACCCAGTTTAAATGGTTTTATTTTAATAAAAGTTGGTGA